AGAGAGAGAGAGAGAGAGAGAGAGAGAGAGAGAGAGAGAGAGAGAGAAGTAAGGGCTACTCTGCAAACCTGGGGCTGGACAAGTCCCTTTTCGCCTTACCCACCTTCCCCTTCCTTGCTCCTAGCTTCACACAGAGTCTCCAAGACTCATACCCTTTTGGGAAACACACATCACGTGTGTGACTTCGCACACACGTACCTAAGAGGTGTGATGTACCGTGTGCTTTTATCTTAATAATACTTACGGGGCCAGCCTAATGTACACTTTTATACACCTCTTTTATACACACACCAAGTCCCTGTGTTTCAGCCTTTCATACATCCCACTGTCCATCCCCATCCTCCCCAGCACACAAACAGCACATTCCTATACACACCCACACCCACGGCTGTCACCCCCATTCACATGTAGACTCACTCACACCCCTCTCTGAGCATAACTCACTATTCCCTTTCTCTCTCCATCCGAAACCAAGTGGTCATACTTTTCTGTCTCTGCCCCAGCCCTCCAGCCAGAGACCTGAGGTGAGCTCATTTTTTCCTCCTTCCTCCACTCCAGATGGCAGCTTCTTCAACGCTGGCAGATTGGGGGGTGGGGGGAGAGAGTGGGTAGGGGGCCCCTCCCCTCACTTTTCTTTCTTTTTTTTTGTTTTTTATTGAGACGGAGTCTTGCTCTTGTCGCCCAGGCTGGAGTGCAATGGTGCAATCCTGGCTCACTGCAACCTCCGCCTCTCGGGTTCAAGCCATTCTCCTGCCTCAGCCTCCCGAGTAGCTGGGATTACAGGCACCCGCCACCACGCCCGGCAAATTCTTTGTATTTTTAGTAGAGACAGGGTTTCACTATGCTGGCCAAGCTGGTCTCAAACTCCTGACCTCAGGTGATCCACCCACCTTGGCCTCTCAAAGTGCTGGGATTACAGGCATGAGCCACCACGCCCTGCCCCCTCCCCTCACTTTTAAAGGAGAATTTGCTAGTCCCCTCGTCTTCAGACCTCTTGGCAGTTAAGAAGTCCTACCTGTTGTCCAGCCCACATCCTTGCTGCTTTAATGTCAGTAAATGATTGTTCTATTTTCCAGGTCTGGAGGGTTGAAGAACAGTGAACCCCCCTCTCCTACCATTTCTATTCACATATCGTTTGATGGGCGCCTGGGTTCTGGCTCTAAGTTTTGGGTCCAAAAACTTAAATGAGAGCTAGGTATATTTAGTGGTTGGGGTTGGGGTGAGAAGGACAGGCCGAGGCATCAGGGTAAGGAGAAATGCTAGAGGCCTGGAGGTACAAAACTGGTGGTGGGCCTCTTCCTGGGTTCTGCAACCCCGAAGAAGTGTCTCTTAAAGGGAAGACCCACTGGGCTTCACCTTCCTAGAGGTCAAACAGAGAAGCACTAACACTGCAGCAGGAGGAGGGAGGTTAGACAAGAGGGAGGACTTCCATATACTTGACTGAGGGGCAGGCTTATCTTTTCTGAATAATAAAAAAAAAAAGATCCCCCTACTTTTAAGAGGGACAAACCCATCTGATGCGGAGGCAGAAAAGGAAAGAATGACTCCATTAAATTCCGGGGCCTCCCAAGACCACCCCCACACCCACGAAAAGATAGCAGTGTCCGTCCCCACCCAGTTCCTGGGCTTTGGATCCCCAGTTTCTGACAAGAGGAAATCCAACTTTCTAAATCAGAAACCTCAAGAGATGGAGTGCCCCGGGGGATGAGGGCTGTGCAGGGGAGTGGCATCTTCCCCTCCTCCATTCTGGATCTCTCCGTGAAATCCCCCTAACCCCCAGCACTCCCGGTGGGTGAGGTGGGATGTGGAGTAGAGGCCCCCCTGGCCCGCCTCCCCTTTTCCTCCGCCAGAAGCCGGCCTCCTCCCGCACTCCCAGCCGGAATGCAGCTCCTCTATTGTTCCCCACTGTGGGACAGCTCCTCCCCCACCCCACACCTCCCCAGCCCAGCCCCTTTGCAATTTCCAAATCCCGCCCCCCCACTCTCTTTGAGAAGCCAGGAGAGGGAAGGGTCCCCAAGATCCCGTCTGCTCAATTTGGACCTTCACCAGCACACCCACCCACCCACCCAGGGATGCTGGAGCAGCAGAGGGTGTGGTACCAGACATACTATGCTGGATTAATTCTGCACCCCCTCCCAACACACCCAGACACACGCCTTCCACCAAATTTCCAGGTGAAGGTTTCCTACCCCCCAGCAGGCCCCCTCCTGCCCTGTCCTACTCTTTCACTACCAGAGACCCCTCTCTAGGCCTCTGGCCCTAGGCTGTGGCCAGCCCAGAACAAAAGCCAGAGAAGGAAGAGGAGAGGTCCAAGCCAGGATGTAGCACTTCCTTGGAGACACCCCTTCCAAAACCCCAGAGACAGTCCAACTTTGGTGGGTGGGTAACCACAGGACCCCCTCCTTTCAGCAGCCCCCCTCACCGCCTCTTCCCCAGGCTGGGACCCTCCCCTGGGCCACACCCCCTTCCATTCCTACACTCAGCCCAACAAAGAGACTGATACTCAGTCTGGCTTCAAGGGCCAGGTCTCCCCTAAAGTCTGTAACTCCAGGCGGCTGGGGGTCCCAGGGGTGCCCCCTCCCCAACCTAGGAGCAGATACCAGAGTACAGGCTTCTGAGTAACTCTTGCACATTCCGTCAGTTTTTCTGGTTAGGAGGAGTGGACACCCCCTCCGGACAGCCTCCCTGGATTGGGAGACCTATCCCCTCCCCTTTCCCTCTTCCAGTGCGAGGATATTTCTTTGTCTGAGGGCAGAGCCCTGGGGGTGGAAGGATCTGGAGAATCGTCCCGACTAGGGGTAACAGGGAACTTTGTGGCACTTAGAAATCAGGGTAGGGGGCGGGTCCCCCTTTGTGGGGAAGGGACAGAGCCGGAGGCGGGCTAGAAGGGAAGAAATGAACTTTCCGCGCTGGGGACGGGGTGCCCCCACTACAGTCCCCCTCACCGGTCCCGGCGCCCCGCTTACCTTGCCTGCCCACGATCTCGGCCACGTGCTCGGAGGTGGGCACGGGAACACACTCCGTGGTGTTGCTGCTGCCCTTCAGGCGCAGCTCGGCCTCTTTGTAGAGAGCGCTGAGCTTGGCGTCGCCCGCCCCTTTGGGGGCGGTGGGGGGCTGGGGCGTCTGCGCCGCGGGGGCCGCCGTCGGGGCGGCCGGGGGCGCCGCGGGCGGCGGCGGCGGGGCCGGCTGCGGGGGGGCGGCCGGCTGCGCGGGGGCGCCGCCCCCCCCACCTCCCCCGTCCTCGCCCGCCGTGGGGGCGGGGGGCTCCCCCAAACCCAGGAGGCAGAGTTGATCGAGAGCCAGCTGAAGGGCGCGCTCGTCTTCCAGCAGCCCTCGGTCCTTAGCGCTTCCCCCGAAACAGCCTAGTTCTCCAAAGCCCCCATTTCTTTCCATTATTCCAGATACCACTAGACTAGGCATGGCGAAACAAAAGCTGGGGGAGAGAGAGAGGGAGAGAGAGAGAGAGAGAGGGGGTGGAAGGGAAAAGAGGAGAGAGGAGGGGAGGGGAGAGGAGAGGAGGGGGTGTGTGGGGAGGGGGGAACAAAGAACTGGGGAGGGGGGAAGAAAGCGAGATAGAAAGATAGACCCTCCCCCTAAGCCCCCCTCCCCAAACACCCTGTAACCCGACTCCCCTCGCCCCAGCCCCCGGGGTGGGGGTGGGGGGAAAGAGAAGCAAAACCAAGAAAGCAGATCTCCTCTCCTCTCCGGGGGTGACGGGGGGCGGGGGGCTGCGGGATCTCTGCCCCCACCCCTCCCGCCTCGGACCTGGGAGTCTCTAGTCCCCGCCGTCCAGGCGCCCCCGTTAGGCTCCCGCACCGAGCCCCAGTCCGGGAGCGGCGCTCAGTGGCCCCCAATAGAGCCCAGCCCCTTCCAGCGCTCAAACTCTTTTGTTTTAAATGAACTGGATGGAGCAGCATGGAACTGACGGGAGGGGGGCGCGCCGGGGGCGCCCGGAGCATGCCGGGAGTTGTAGTTTCCCGCCCTCGGGGGCGCGGGGACAAATTCCTTGACCCGAGGAGGATAGGGATGTGCCCTTCGGTCTTTCCTCGCAGCTCCAGGACAAGCTGGGGGTGGGATGGAAGTCGAGGTCCCTAATTTTGTGAGGGGCGGGTGCAGGGAGAAGGAGTAGTCTGCGGAAACGGAGCGGGTTGGAAGCCGGCTAGCGCCGCGCGCCCCCTCCCGGGACCCGCTCCTTCCCCGCTCCGGTCGGTCCTGGGGGCCCGCTTTCTTATGGAAATGAGGGGGGGCCGGGGGCGGGGAGCGGTCCCCGCGAGCTCACTGCGGCTTTCTCTCTCTCCCCTCTTCCCCCTCCCTGCCGCGCTCCCTCTCCGCTTCCCCCTCCCGCTCTCCCGTAGTCGATCCCGGCGCCCAGCCGCGGGGAGAGGTTCTCGGCTGAGCAGACAAAGCCCGCAGCACCGATGGGGGGAGAGCCGGACCCTGCGCGTTGTGGGGGCCAGGAAGGGGTGCCAAGCTGGGGCTGGAATCCCCCGGCAAAGGATGGGGTTCCCTCATCCCTAAGCAACAAGCCATCTCCCCTCGCCCGCCCCCCCGCCCCTCCAGTCTCGGAGATTTCAGAGGCACCGACTGGGAGGTGAGTTAGTTCACGTCCTTCTGCTCCGTGGAGGGGGTCTGGAGGGCGGTGGAGTGATGAGGTGCGGAGGTTGAAGAAGTGCCGGGATAGAAGTGGGGGTCGGACGGAGAGTGGGGAGGTAGGAAAAGTCTTAAAGGCCTGGGGTGACTTAACCGTTTGGGGTGAGGGCCTTGAGCTTTGGGTGTGACAGAAGGAGAAAGGAGAGACCGGGATGGACTGGGAACCCAGGCTTCCTTCAGGCCTGGGCTGTGACTACAGCTTGGGGTGATCCGTTCTTTTTTTTTTTTTTTTTTTTAACATTCAACCTGGCTCCCCCACAATGTAGGCGATCCGTTCTTTAGCACTCATCGATTTCCACTGTTTCCTCCACCCCTCTCCCATTGAAAACCTATTCGGGGCCAGGCGTGGTGGCTCACGCCAGTACTCTCAACACTTTGGGAAGCCGTGGCGGGTGCCTCACCTGAGGTTAGGAGTTCGAGACCTGCCTGACCAACAAGGTGAAACCCGTCTCTACTAAAAATACAGAAATTAGCCTGGCGTAGTCGCCCGCGCCTGTAGTCGCAGCTACTCGGGAGGTTGAGGCAGGTAAATCACTTGAACCCGGGAATCGGAGGTTGCAGTGAGCCAAGATTGTGCCACTGCACTCCAGCCTGGGTGATGTAGCCAGAGTCGTCTCAAAAAAAAAAGGAAAACCTATTCAGTCCCGTTTGATCAGAAATTTGGTGAGAATGAAAATAAGTTTTTAAAGCTTGGAGTTTTAGAGTTTCAGAAAGGTGGAGTGTAATGCAATCTTTTCTTCTCCCTTTACCCCATATCTTCTGCATTTATTTTATATCACCCTTTTCATGTCTGGACCTTTCCCAAGGGAAGAAGGGATGGCACTGCAGCTTGAGGGCTTGAGGTCAGACTTTAAGAAGAACTTCCATAAAGAGTTTTATAACAGTGGGTGGGTGAGCCACAGTGGTAAGGTGTCCTTTCCTGGAGTGACTTGAAAAACAAAAATCTGAACTAGTTTGTAAGGTAAAGTCCTGCTGAGAGGCAAGGGAAGAGATGAATTGACCTCACAGACTTAGCAATGTGGGGTCTTGAGGGCTGAGCTGTTTAGCCCAGTTCCCTAAACTGTTTCTTGGAAAGAGTGAATTTTCACACTAATGGGAGCGCTGGAACCTGAACTGAGGATCTCAGAAGGGGTGGGGTTGCGGGGTGGTCGGCACTGCAGGGTTCTTTTCCCTTTGCTAGCCAGAAGATCCTGGGAAGGAGAACCTTGACTGAGGAGCCCAGGAAGGCCCCGGAGTTGGGAAAGTTTGCCCCCTGGACTGGGGATTTAACATAAGATCAACAGTAAACCTTATTGTGAAATTCGATGCTACTGCCACCAAGCAAGAGTGAAAGAGGAAGAATTGGAGAGACAGGACCCTGGAGAGTGGGGCTGTTTCTGCCTCTTGTCCCCTCTGCCTGCCCCAGGAACCTGGATTGCAGAGACTGTGGTACTGGGGACCATGAGGTCTCTTTGGAAGAAAGTGTTTGCTTTGTGGATCAGGTGACTGTTTTCACATTAATAGAAATAGCAAATAGTTGCATAGGACTTAATTGTGTGTTAGGCATTTTTGTGGGGCAGCTGGGTGAGCCTTCCTGTCCCCACTGAAATGAGATTCCCCCCAGACTCCCACCCTGAACTTGCCCTGCCTCTGCTTTCCTCTCCACTAAGCTAATTAAAGCAGGAGGTTCATGACCAGAGAACCCTTGGGGATTTGGCCAGGGAGGAATACAAAGGGCAGAAACAAGTGTGTGTGTGTGGGGCGGGGGCGGGCAGCTGCAGAATGGTGAAGGGGCTGGCTGAGGGGTGGAGTGGGTGAGGCAGGGTCCCTACTGACTGACTTCCTCCCTGAGCCAACAACAAGAATGAATCAGCCCTCTGGGTAAGTTAATGTCCACCCTCAGGGCTCACTGGGACTCCAAATTTCTTTCACAGCAGATGTGAACCTGGCATCTAGAGGGCAAAGGATATGTGTGTGAATGCAGTTACGTATGTGGCCTGGTGGACATGTGAGAGTGTCTGGATCATGTGGGAGAGTGCCCAGGTTCAGAGGTCGCTCAGGGTGGGCACCTTGAGGAGCTGGATTCTCAGAGCAGTTTTTCTTTTTTTTTTTTTGAGTCAAAGTCTCACTCTGTTGCCCAGGCTGGAGTGCAGTGGCGCGATCTCGGCTCACTGCGCGCGATCTCGGCTCACTGCAACCTCCGCCTCCTGGGTTCAAGCGCTTCTCCTACCTCAGCCTCCCGAGTAGCTGAGATTACAGGCACACACCACCATGCCTGGCTAATTTGTTTTTGTATTTTTAGTAGAGACTGAGCTTCACCATGTTAGCCAGGATGGTCTCGATCTCCTGACCTCGTGATCCGCCCGCCTCGGCCTCCCAAAGTGCTGGGATTTACAAGCGTGAGCCACTGCACCAGGCCTCACAGAGCAGTTTTTACAAGTCCTTCACTCTCTCCCTGAGGCTGGTGGCCTTCTTTGTTCAGGAGACCCCTCCCTCGACTGAGAAGCTAGATTTCTGTTCACGGGCTTTCCTCTTCCCCGCCTGCCCAATCCAGAGTTATGGCAATCAGAGCAGAAGGCCCTATTGAAACAGTACTCCCCACTCTCTGCCTTATGAGCAGAAAGGTGCAGAGGTGGCATACTTCTCCCCTTCAGGACCTTGGAGGACAGCATTGTGTCTCTTATCTTCATCATGGTCCCCAACCCTAGCTGCTCAGAACCTAGCATGCATACCTGCCTAGAACAGAGGCTCAATAGGGGTGTGTTGAGTGTAACTCCGTTTTTAAAACTTCATGGTGTAAGAGGAAAGAGCAGGTCTCCAGAGACAAACATGCGGCTTATTTGGCCACCTTGGGCGGTCATTTACCGCTGAGCCTCAGTTTCCTTATCTCTAAAATGGAAGGATAAGCCAAAGTCTGGCAGGGCGCGGTGGCTCACGCCTTAATCCCAGCACTTTGACAGGCCCAGGTGGCCGGATCTCTTGAGGCCATGAGTTCAAGACCAGCCTGGGCAACATAGTGAAACCATGACTGTACTAAAAACACAAAAACTAGCTGGGTGTGGTAGTGCACGCCTGTAATCTCAGCTACTTGGGAGGCTGAAGCAGGAGAATCGCTTGAACCCAGGAGGCAGAGGCTGCAGTGAGCTAAGACCATGCCATTGCACTCCAGCCTGGGTGAGAGTGAAACTCTGTCTCAAAAAATAAAACAAAATAAAATAAACCAAGATCCTGACACAGTGCCTGGCTATCTTAGGTTTTCAATCAGTTTTAGTTTCCTGGCCCTGGTTGTTCTCCCCTTGTGGTTGACTCTAGCCAGATTGCGGTCTTCATTCATTCATTCATTCATTCAGCCAACCACTTCCTACTGAGCTCCTAGGATGTGCCAGGCACTGGAGGAGATTTATTCTGACCCATCAAAGGTGACTTGAAGTCAGTTCTAGGTCTAGACTTGCTGAAATAAGATCATTCCAAACAAACAGCAAATAATTCTAAAAATAATTCCTGTTAAGCTCTGGAATGCAGGTGACCTCTGACTCTGACTCTCCGCCCCCCCCCCCCCCTTTCTCTCTCTTTTTCTGTCTCTCCCACACACACAAGCCAGGCTTTTGGCCTCATGCCTGGGGAACAAAGGACCCTGTTGAGTTGTTGAGTACATACACACACAAGCCTGGCTGCAGGGCAGGAAAGGTGACCCAGGGGAGAGTCCAGGGTTCTTGTGGCGGTTGGGGGATAGGAGTGGGGTGGATGATCCAGCCTGTGTGCTTGTCTGCGTCGGGAGTAGCATTCCTTCTTTCCCCTGAGCACTCCTGAGCACCTGTTATCACAGTCTGAACACTCAGTACCAAGGAATGGGGGTGCACACCTAACACTTGACCTTTACACTTAGCCCTATTCTCAGCAAGGGAGGGAGACACAAGGCTGCCTTACCACACCGACTGGCTCCTATAGAGGTTATCTCCCCATCTTCCTGCTTCTCTCAGGATGCCTTCTCTATCTGACCTAGTCCTCTGAGCCTCCTCTCCCGTGCATTATGGGATTTTCCCATTTTCTTTCCCCCTCCTTTTTTTTTTCTGAGACAAGGTCTTGCTCTGTCAGCCAGACTGGAATGCAGTGGCTTGATCATGGCTCACTGCAACCTCGATCTCCCAGGATAAAGCGTTCCTCCCACCTCAGCCTCTCCAATAGCTGAACCACAGTGGCATGCTGCCATAACCAGCCAGTTTTTAAATTTTTTTGTAGAGGTGAGATCTCTCTATATGCCCAGTCTGGTCTTGAACTCCTGGCCTCAAGTGATCCTCCCACTTCGGCCTCCCAAAGTGCTGTGATTATAGGCATGAGCCACCAGTCTAGCCTTTTTTTTTTTCTGAGACGGAGTTTCACTCATGTTACCCAGGCTGGAGTGCAATGGCGCGATCTCGGCTCACCGCAACCTCCGCCTCCTGGGTTCAGGCAATTCTCCTGCCTCAGCCTCCTGAGTAGCTGGGATTACAGGCACGCACCACCATGCCCAGCTAATTTTTTGTATTTTTGGTAGAGACGGGGTTTCACCATGTTGACCAGGATGGTCTCGATCTCTTGACCTCGTGATCCACCCGCCTCGGCCTCCCAAAGTGCTGGGATTATAGGCTTGAGCCACCGCGCCCGGCTTTTTTTTTTTTTTTTGAGACAGAGTCTTGTTTTGTTGCCCAGGCTGGAGTGCAGTGGCCTGATCTCGGCTCACTGCAACCTCCGCCTCCTGGGTTCAAGTGAGTAGCTGGGATTACAGGCATGCGTCACCACGCCTGGCTAATTTTGTATTTTCAGTAGAAACAGGGTTTCACCCTATTGACCAGGCTGGTCTTGAACTACTGACCTCGTGATCCGCCTGCCTGAGCCTCCCAAAGTGCTGGGATTACAGGCATGAGCCACCTCACCCGGCTTGGCCTTTTTTTTTGAATACCCCTTTTTTGTGGGAAGTCTGCGTTGCTATCTAACCACCATCCTGCTAAGGATCCAGCTAGTTTTCTCTCCTTTGCTGGAATGTACGCAACACATTAATTAATTAAATTTATTTTTTTAAAAACCTTATACCAGCACTCCAAACCTCACTAGCATTAATTAATTTTAATCAATGAGAATATGGCATAAAATTCTGCAGGCCACACAAAAGAAATGTGAGACTTGATCCCCACCCTCAGTAAGACACTGGCCTGTATGACCCAGAGAACATGGGTAAGCAGGATTCAATGTAAGGACAAAATGGTCTTTGGGGTAGAGCACAGTGACTCATGCCTGTAATCCCAGCACCTTGGGAGGCCGAGGTGGAAGGATCGCTTGAGTCCAGGAGTTTGAGACCAGCTTGGGCAACAAAGTGAGACCTCATCTCATTTATTTTATTTATTTGTTTGTTTGTTTATTTATTTATTTATTTTGAGACGGAGTTTCACTCTTGTTACTCAGGCTGGAGTGCAATGGTGTGATCTCGGCTCACCGCAACCTCCGCCCCCTGGGTTCAGGCAATTCTCCTGCCTCAGCCTCCTGAGTAGCTGGGATTACAGGCACACGCCACCATGCCCAGCTAATTTTTGTATTTTTAGTAGAGACGGGGTTTCACCATGTTGACCAGGATGGTCTCGATCTCTTGACCTCGTGATCCACCCACCTTGGCCTCCCAAAGTGCTGGGATTACAGGCGTGAGCCACCGTACCTGGCCCCTGTTTGTTTATTTTGAGAAAGGGTCTTGCTCTGTCGTCAGGCTGTAGTACTGTGGCATGATCTTGGCTCACTGAAACCTTGAACTCCCAGGCTCAAATGAGCCTTCCATCTCAGCTTCCTGAGTAGTTGGGACTACAGGCATGTGCACCTGTCCAGCTAATGTTTGTATTTTTTGCATAGATGGGGTTTTGCCATGTTGGCCAGGCTGGTGTCAAACTCCTGAGCTCAAGTGATCCACCTACCTCAGCCTCTCAAAGTGCTGAGATTACAGGCATGTACCACCATGCCCTGCCCTCATTTATTTTTAAAATAAAATTTAAAAAAAGGTCTTTGGAGGCTGGGCGTGGTGGCTTATGCCTATAATCCCAGCACTTTGGGAGGCCAAGGTGGGTAGATCACCTGAGGTTGGGGCTCAAGACCAGCCTGACCAACATGGAGAAACCCCATCTCTACTAAAAATACAAAATTAGCCGGGTGTCATGGTGCATGCCTGTAATCCTAGCTACTGGGAGGCTGAGGCAGGAGAATCGCTTGAACCCTGGAGGCAGAGGTTGCAGTGAGCCGAGATTGCACCACTGCACTCCAGCCTGGGCAACAAGACGGAAACTCCGTTTCAAAAAAAAATGTCTTTGGGACTCAGAGGGCTACAGACAGAGATTGGGCAAGAGAGTAGGTCACTATGCGTCCTTCTGTTGTTGCGGATCTGATTTCCAAGGGCTTTGCAGGCTCAGCCTGAAGTTTGAAGCTTGACAGACAAACATCTCTGCAACTACCCTGGCACTCCCCCTGCCAGGTCCCCTGTGCAGTCTGATTTCCCCAGGGAGAGCAGCTCAGAGGGGCTGGGG